TCTTCTTCGAGTAACCTTTTTAGAAGCATTTTTGTACTCATTTTTCACAGAATATGTGCACGTATGTCTCAACAAAACAAAGAAAACAAACACTTTGCCGCATGTCTCGGTCGTCACCTCAAAAGTGTGTGGCGACAAGCTGCGATGTGTCCGTCTCCCGTCTCTGTCGCCTGCCTCGGTCGCTTGTCTCTGTTGCGTGCAGCCAAATTGTACCTTAAGAGATTGTTTGTCGCACGGATATGAAACGGCAAGTAAGATTGTAGTTTTGTGTATTTTAGTCTTTAGATTTGTATGTAATAGACAGGGAAAAACATAAATTCTAAACAGGTTATCTAGAATTAACGGAATTGAATATCCCTTTAACAATTTCGTGGATGAATGATAATATGACGCAACTTCACAAAATAAGAGATTTGTGCAGTAATTTACGTCTCATTGAGCATAACAAGAAAATAATTGGTAAGATGACAGATGGAAGATTTATCTTCAGTAGACTATGTACTAAAATGTTCATCGTCCTATACTGACGATGGAAAGCGGGAAGTTGTAACTGGTTTGGAATCTTACAACGAAGACTGCACATCTGTGTGCTTGCCTTGAAAGGCACAAACCAAGTGCAGGTGTGTCCGGACCGGAAGCAGGTCATTGGTGCAGGCATCGGCATGAAATGAACTTCCTGTCGAGTGGTCCTTACCAAAGAAGTGGTGTCTGAGGGGAAGCCAGCGAACCTGTAAGCAGCTGCCAGAGTCTTTACAGGGCGACCATACTCGTTCTGCGTTTAAGTTAGTAAAGCGTGTGGTTCACAGATGGCAGTTGAGTGCAGTCGTGTTGAGCGAGAGATAACGGAGTCCATGGAATTTACGTATGCAATGTCTGCGGTATCTAAAGCAAAAACGCGGCTGACTTGAATGTTTGAACGCCCAGTTTAAATCAAGGACGAGATATCCACTTTTCTTTCTGAATTTTTTTGTGATTTTATCAGTAATTTCAGGCGAATTCTGGGACGACTATTTTGAAGTTTGAAGATTTCTTCTGGGATGTGCCGCCGTGCGATCTGGTAAACGTTTGCCGATGTTTCAAAGGTGTTTGCTGCAGCCATCATCAGGGCGATCGTCCTTAGAGTGCAGTGGTTAGCACCCCAGTTTCGTATTTTGGCGGGTGTAGCCCGGGGATCGCCTGTCCTAGCTGTTTTTCGTGTTTTTCCTCATGCACTCCACATGGATGCCGGAAAAGTAATTTTAAATTAGGCAGTGGTCGCTTCCCGTGTATTTCCACTTTTTTACCAATCCTGTCATTAGTCGCCAAACGCGCTGATTTACAGAGAGCGTCTTTAATAAACCGTGAACAAAAGAAACAAATACGTTGATATCATTGTAGTATTCCTCACATACTTCACTTCTAGAACGAAATATTTGCTAAGCAAACACCTGAAATCTGTTTTCCGTCAACCGCAAAAGAGCAATCCACGTCTTGCACTGCGTTAAAACTACGATAACGCCTTCTGCATAATTCTATAATATAATTTGAAATAGTGTTCCATAAATTATTTCTGTATTTTTTTTAACAAAGAAGCAACATGAGTTAGGTCTGCCATTCGTTTTCTCAACGTACGTTTAAATCAGTTATCCAGTCAATCTGTGGAACATAATAAATCTGTTTTATCGAACGATTATCGATTTTTGTGTTTTACACTTAAAATTGCTGTTGGTTGTACGTTTAGACTTTGGTTGATCGATCGATTGATCGATGTCTTTCCTATGGATGCCAACTTTCGATGAGTTCATTCATTGTAAGGCAATGGAAGTAAGTTGTCTCTGCCTAATTATTAAGCAACCCTTCATGAATACGAATGGCATATGAAGGTATTTTCTTAGCGCGGACAGCAGGTGGTGTCGTCTGCAACCGCGAAGCGGTTTGGGGGGGGGGGGTAATATTGCGGGCTTGCCTTTTTACCCAGCCAAACCCACGGCTGCACTTCAGTATGTAATTAATTATCTGTGTACAGTAAGGCTCGCGAGAATTAAGTAAGCTTTCTGACTTATGCGGTGCGGCCGTGTAAGCAACCGATCTGCGCATGCGTAACCTCCCTGTTCATGCAAACCAGCTAGAAGACGAAGGAAGGAAAGTGCCCAGTAAATATGCGTCATTTTATGGATGTTGTTCTGGCAGCCGAACGACATCGACATAATTAACATCTTATGGCACGATTGCACATTACAACGGCACTTTGACGTAAATTTTATTAAGAAAATTACTTTCGTTTTCCCTTTGTCAAGAATTGGTGTCTGCATGAATCCGAAATTTG